TACCACCACTCGGGAATCTCCAAGCTGTTTGTGCCATCAGGATTGCTCAGGATCGCTGCCAGACCACAGCTCCGTCTCTCTCCTTTTTTGGTATTTTCATGCAAATTCTTGTGCTAGTTGGGGTTTAGTCCACTTCTCTATCCTTCCCTTTAAGGCTCAGGAGTCCAGGATTATCTTCTGTGTCTGTGTTAATTGGTTTCCCTTTTCTTTGTTGAAGAGGGTCTGTGCAGCCTTTCTGCCTAGTCCGCCATCTTGCTGGCCACTCCAGTAGTGCCTTATTATAATACAATTTCTGCAACACAGAATTTGTTGCCTTCTAGATGCAATGATTCTCATTGAGGGTGCTGTGAACATTTTGGACAGGTCATTTCTTCCTTGTGTGGACATTAGACAATGTTTAACATTCCAGTTCCTCAGGGACTAAATACCAGTAGCTTCCTTGGTCAGCTTGTGACAACTAAAAATATCCTACTACTCCACATAACCCTCAAACCCAAATGGCCTACAGGGACAAAGGACACTTCTGGTTAAGAACCATTAATTACCGGAAAGGAAAGCTATAATTTAGTTTCATTTATAGCAGCAGCATAGATCCTGGAGTTAGAGCTGTAGTGAAGCTCAACTGTATTTGGTAAATTAACATGCTTTCCTCATTATTGCTGACAGTAGAAAGTCTTCTGTTGATTTTTAATTTCCATTCGCCTAAAGCCCTTTCCATGTGTATTCTTTATATTCCTGCTTTTCAATTGTGTGTGTGTTTATTTATTTATTTTTTATGCACTTTTTTCTTTTTAAATTTTTATTGTGATTTGGGTAAAAGTTTACAGAGCAAATTCATTTTCCATAAAGCAGCTCACATACACTCTGTCTCATGACATTGACTGCAGTTTGTGTGTGGTTATTTTTTAAAGCTCTAAATAAGTCACTAGGTGTAAACAGTTTGCACTCAGTTACTAACCTAAAGATTGGTGGTTCAAACTCACCCAGAGGTGCCTTGGAAGAAAGACCTGGCAATCTACTTCCCTAAAAATTATAACCAAGGGAACCATATGGAGCAATTCTCTTTATACCACATGGGATTGCCATGAATCAGAATCAATTCAACAGCAACATGTTTTAGTTAAATGAAAGAATGTGATACATATTTAGGACTCACATTTATCATGGAATCAAAGTCCTTTAAATATATTTCTTCACTTTTATTCTTGGTTAATTCTTTAATTTTTATATTCCAGAAGTCTTCCATTAAGAAGTTAGTGATTAAAAAGTTTGACTGCTTGTGTTCAAATGTTGGTATATTAACTGAATAATGTTGGAACACTCGTTTAACTCTCCATGACTTAGTTTCTTCATCTGTAAAAAATGGAAGTAACAACAATAGATAAATCATAAAGACTTGTGAAAACTAAATGAGTTAAAATATAAAGTGCTCCAAACACTACCTGGCACAGAGTAAATGGTCAGAAAATGTTACTCATTCTTAAGCAAAGAATATTATTAATAATTATAACTGATTAATATAATTACTATTAATAACAAATAACTCACTGTTGTCAAGTCAATCCCAACTCATAGCGACCCCTCCTTGGGATTCTGAGGCAGTATCACTACAGAAGTAGATTGCCCAGTCTTCCTTCCAAGGAGTGGCTGGTGGGTTGAACCGCCAGCCTTCTAGTTAGCAGTCAGGTGCCTTAGGCACTACGCCACTAGAGCTCCTATAATTACTATTAGCATAATATAATTATTCATAGTTATAATTATGTATAAACACACATTTGTAAAATTGTATATCCATAACATACTGATGGTGTAGTGGGTATGGCATTTGGCT